AGCCAACGTGCTTTTCAGGTATGCCGATCATTTTGATACTTGATGTCCCCCATGTCAAATTCGTTGAATTCCATTTTTGGAATGATGTTGCAACTCTGAAGTGGAAAATAAGGGGCGTGGACCAAAATATGACAATAGCTGATACTCCTCTTCTAGTTAAGCTATCCTACTAATAGTACGCTTTTTACGTTTTTTCTTCCACCAGCTTCAATATCGGGCCCTTGTTTGAAGCAGATTTCACATTTTTTCATCGGAAGGAAACCTCTCAAGAGGACGCGGATCCGCATCTTCTGCGGTTTTTTTATTAAACTTATATGAGGTACTGTACAGTGCAGAATTAGCTGAAGACAGTGAGATCTGGATAGACTATTATTTCTCCCTTTCCAGTGAACATATCCTGACAAAAAGATTCTGCACTGGATCCTTATAGAAGGTGAGTTTGGATGGAGCACTTATGGAAAGAGCACATAAAGATGTTTTGGCCTTCATCCATCGAAGTCCAGAGGAGCGGTATGCGATACTGTTGGGAAGAGTGGCGGTAAGTTTAGATGACTGAAGCTACAGTGCTTTCCATGATGGTACTACTACTACCTACACAATTCGTAAACCCGCGTTCCCCAATGTTCCAAGCCTGAAGCGAAGACAAATCACATCTAAGTACAGTTTTGCACATCAGCATAAATTTAGTTCGAAGACGCGTCTTTTTTTACTTCATTTCCTTGGAGAGGGCGCTCTGCCTTTTTCTCCCACTGTACAAACACCCTGCCGCGGCCATCGTTTTGCTCAAGAAGCCTTCGAATTGCTATCAATTTTCTTTTCTCAGTAGCGCAAAACGGGTTATTGCTTAAGTACTGCGGAAAAAGTCAAGTTGTTTTTGAATTCAACGAAATCAATGAGTAATGCAGTCAATTCGCGCCAAAATTACGTTATGCGTAGCAGTTTCGTCAATGATCCTATGGAATTTGGAACTATAAAGAAGCCAGGACCAGCATCAACCCCCGCAAAGGTCAACGAGGGGATCGTACACACCAGTTGTTAAAAAACTTGTGGGCGTTATATTGCTGCAAACATGCATGTCCACAGAACATGGAACAGCGGGACGATTTTTCGAAGACTTGAACATTTTTAGTAGTTGAAACACGCCATAGGAAGGAAATGTTTAACCTTTAGGTAATCTTTTTGGGGTCTGTTGTCCGATGGCGGGGCATCTGCTGCTGCAACGTGCTAACGAAACAAAACGTGTTAAAAGAGCAAACGCTTCTAACAGCAAACAAACCAGAACATGTTAAGAACCAACATTCATCTAAAGCTTCGAAGAAACAACAAAACAAAAACAAACAAAATAAGGCCTATCGCAAGAGATGCGAGCATGCGACGATAACGCACGTAAGT